GCGGCGGGGGAAGAAAATGCAGGTCAAAAAGGACTCTGTTTTCTCTGTTGGCCGCTATCACTGAGGCCAGATACTTATTACATTTCTGTACCACCAGTAAGCAAAGCTTTTCTCAGTAGCTACCTGCCTCACTTCATCTGGTGGGGGCTTCCAGAGAAGGACCACAGTATGTCAATGACCTTCTCCCCATGACTCCAGAAGCTCAAGTGCATTCAATGCAGAGGACAGCCTGAGCATGGTCAAAACAGCCGAAGTCATTCTGCCCACACATCATCCTCTATAGGATGCTAAACCAGGCAAAACAGCACCCCCTCATACACACCTCTATAAACAGGGCACAAGATGCTGCAGGGAGGTCTTGACGGTGCTGAAGGTGTCCATCTGTGATTGGTGTGAAATTATGTGAGATATGAAAGGTCCTGTTCATCATGAGAGTTTACATTAGAGTAACTTCAGGTGGATTGTACTCCCTAGCACAAAGTGTTTTGTGAGGAACTGGCGAGGTTATTTCAGGGTATGGCGAAATCCCTGAAGCACATGGCAAGAGATCATAGAAACAGAGAAACAGAGTGAGTCAGAAGGGGTCTCCCGGGCCATCTAGTCTGACCACCAGCTCCAGCCAGCTCCGCTCACGACATGCCCACCATGTGCATGTCCAGCCTGTCTTTGAACACCCTCACCGATGGGGCCTCAATGACCTCCCGTGGAAGCCCATTCCACACCCTTGGGGTCCTGACTGTCAGGAAGTGCTTCCTGGCATCTAAATGGAACCTTGGCTCCCTGAGCTTTGCTCCGTTGAGTGCATCCTGCCTTCCTCTGCAGGGGAGACCAGGTCTCTACCCATCTCCATGTGACATCCTTTCACATACCTGTATGTTGCCAGTATGGTGTAGTGGTTAAGAGCATGGGACTGGGACTCAGATGATCTGGGTTCTAGTCCCTGCTCAGCCATGGAGCCAACTGGGTGACTTTGGGCCAGTCACAGACTCTCAGCCCAACCTACCTCACAGGGTTGTTGTTGTGGGGATAAGATGGAGGAGGAGATGTAAGCTGCCTTGAGCCCTTGGAAGGAAAAAGGCAGGATACAAATCGAATAATACATACATACATACATATCCCCTCTGAGTCTCCTCTTCTCCAGGCTGAAGAGACCCACTTCCCTAGTCTCACCTCATACCCCATCATCTCTTGCCATGAAATAAGGCAGCCACAGACTTCAAGGATTGAGGAGTGGAGTTCCTGAATCAAACGGTCCCCATTCAGCCCAGCACTGGTGCAGAGAACACAATAAACATGCTACTCAGCTGGGGGCAGGGGTGTTGTAGTCAGACTGGACAAAGCTGTCAACATTCAACAGCCAATTTACCCAAGATAATATTCCTACATAGGCAAGAAAGCAAATTCTTGAAGGAACCCCACCTTTGAAACCAGAAACATAGAAAAATGGCCCACTATACCTTAGGCTAGTCTCTCTGATTACAAAAGGGGAACTGACAAAAGGGGCTGCATCGACCTCCAGCATTCAACCTAAAAAGATACACCATCATGCATCAATGTGAGAAAATTCAGCTGAATTCCAAAAGTGGCGATGTATTTCACACAGAGATTTCTGCTGAAAATGTACTTTTCTACACATTCTCCAAGGGTACGTTTATGAGCCTGACACTTCAAGTGAGATGTCTTGCTAAGATTCCCCAGCACAGAAGCTCATATAAACCAACCACGGATAAAGCTCAATATGCTCAAACAAAACAGCCCGACAGCAAAATACCTTTTCTGAAGGAGTGTCCCAAGCAGAAGGCCTTCGCAAAATACTTTCTCAGTTAAACAAGATGGCATAAGAGTTCAGACTGAAAAGCAATGAACAAAGTAAAGCACCTGGTTAACACCATTTAAACTTATGTCATCAAAGCATACCCCGTGATTATGTCCCTGCATCAATAAAATTTGTGTTTGTTGCTGACGTATGTGCACGGGGGAGGTGACTGGACCTGACTGGAGACAGTGTGGTGCAATGGTCTGAGCGCTGGACTAGGACTGGGGAGACCTGGGTTCTGAATTGCCTTTGGGCCAGTCACTGACTCTCAGCCTTACCGGTGAGGGTAAAATACAGAAAAACACGCATCTGTACCCTCTTAGGTTCCTTGGAAGAAAAGTTTCATAACCGTAAACCATCATTATCATCTTTTTTCAGCTACAAAATAAGCAGAAGCTTATACTGGAACAAAGCCTGAGTGAGGGGGTGCACAGACATGCCAAGTGGTGTTCCCCACTAGCATGCAGCTTAGCTCACTTGCCATCTGCAGCAAGCAGGAGTTTCTCATTAGCTTCTGCCATGCTGGCACCTTCCTCCAATGTATTTGCTCTCTTTATGGCACACTGTGGCTCGGCCTGTATGCAACTGTGGGGGTGGCTGGTAGATGAAAGTCTTTAGCCCATCCCTTGCCTTTGCTGGCATAGATCGGTCTGATACAGGCTGATGAACTGACAGCAGAAGTGACAGCTACAGGAATGGGATAGCTACAGAAAAAAACAGTGTAAGCTACTACACTCCCCCCCCCCCCAATTTAGGGCAAGTAGAATGAAATACAGATTTCCTGTGAGGCTGGGGGGGGGGGCGCAACTGAGTGCTTCCTCTAGCACAAGGATTTATAAAGTGAGCCTCCTAAGGAAACGCACAAGCCACCAGATGAGTATCCTTTCTTTCCCAGTTTAGGGCAATTGTGATTAGTCCTGCTACTCCTTTCATACTCTGTGCACCAGCCTTGAAAATAATCACTACCTGTGGCAGGTAAGATTAGGCAATCTGGATTTTCTATACTATAGAATCTATAGATTGAAAAAAGAGCTGGTGTGTTGTTCCTTCAGGTTGCTGATATGGGTGTTTTTGGATGAAGAAGTTAGTAACGCATTTTGTAGGCTGGTAGCTTTTATGTGAACTATTACGCAAGGATATAATTTAGCCTCAACAGCATCATTTAGCCTCCTTAATCATTTTGCTTAAGGAGACAGCAGCATTTAAGGGCTCCGTGTGCTTCTTGGACCTGAAGCATAATCCGGTGCATGTCTACTCCAAGGTAAGTCCCACTGGTTCACTATAAAAGGTTGAAACTGTCACACACACCCCCAGTCAAAGGTATGTTTGCACTGCAACACATCTTTTTAGAGCAGGGCAAAGTCAGCATGAAGCCACTTAAGTGATTTTAACAGTTTGGACTGTACTTTGTATTATTTCATGTTAGTGCTTGTATGAATATAAGCAAAACATCCTATTTATTTCACTGGTGACCTCAGTTTTGGTTGCTCTCTTTCACCCTCCCAGTGTTGCTGAAAATAGAGGATTTAAATGAGGATTTTTAAAATATGTTGCCTGACTGAGGGCCTAGCAGGAAGGCTGGGATGCAGATAAGGATGAAGAAAAAAATTAAGTTGTTATGGATACACTGCAAGCCCCATTGAGGACTTCTCAAAAGGCAGGGGAATCAATTTTAACTTAATTCATCCAATAAACCCAATCATGAGAATTTTTGATCGATCTGATGGAAGGGAATTCCCCTATTTTAAGGCTATTTTACATTATTCCACCTAATAGCGTTTCTGAAACTCCCATCAGCAGAAAGGCTCTTGATTTACACATGAGAAATGCATTCTTGTACCAGGCAATGCATTATTCATGCCATATTACACATTGAATTGTCTACAAAGGCAGGCAGTTTTCTTGAAAAGGCTAAAAAAAGAGAAACTGATGCACTCCAGATGTCTCGGGGGGGGGGGGGGAACAAGCCAAGGTGGGCGGGGAGAAGGACAGAAAAAGAAAGACTGACCAACTGCCAAGCTGTAGGAACCGAGAGCTTTAATCGGTACATGGGAACTACAGAGATAGAAACATCTTAAACGTTTTAACTGGTAACTCATAGCTGCTTGAAAGGCGAAGCAGAAACAGAAAGCCTGATTATAGAGCATCACCTTTTCCCGATTATTATTTTGTCGCCTCAATCCCCTCCCCGCGCACACCCCCAAACACCTTTGCTCCCCGTCAGAGGGGTTTGGGGCTTTTCAGCAGCGAGCTCCATACCTCTTGCTCCCACCCCTGCAATCGACTACAGCTTGAAGAAAGAAACGGACGCATACTGCTAAGCACACAGCGCCCCCCGATCCTGGTGCTGGTCCTGGACGAAGAAGGCGGGGTGGGGGAAGCCCTGCCTTCATCACGGGCACGTCGCCCTGACCTAGATAGCAAAGCATGCAAGCTTGCAACGGCGGTCCCAGCCAGGCGGCAAAAACTTCTAGGAAAGCCCTGCTCCCCAAAGCAGCTGGAACTGCTCGTCCTGCGCACCTTTTGCTTTGATGCAATTCCGTCCCACGCCTGGGCTCCTCCTGAACACGCGTTTGGATACGAGCCCTTCCTAACCCCTGCTATTTCCACCCTCATCCTTTTTCTCCTTCCTATCCCCTACTCAACGGCCGGATGACAAACGCTCTACAAGGCGAGCCGGACCTTTCCGAGTCCAGTTATCCTTCTTTTTAGAACAAAATAGAAAGGCTCCGCGCGGCAGTCACGCCCAGCCACCACCGCGCTTCCCCCACCCCACTTGCATACGCTTGCACACGATCGAGGCGCAAACTTTGCAAGGAGATTCCTTGCAGCTCGATGTCTTCCACACACTGCGCCCCCCCCCCCGCCCCTATTCTCGGTCTTGTACCGTGGACTGAGACCGACGGGGAAAAGCAACAAGCAGCAGACGGCGCCGCGGATCGGACGCTGGGTGTGCAAGGGCGAGAGCTCCCCGAAAGGATCAGACCCAGCGAGCTCCGTAAACGCGAAATAGACGCCTGCCGCGATGCACTGACATTGTGCAGCATGCGCGCACACAGCAGCGGCGGCGGCGGCAGCATCGCTGGAAGAGCTGCCGGCTGCGTTGGCCAGCCTGTCTCCCGCTTAGACCCGAGTTCCCGGGCGCCTGGTACGTTGGTGCAGTAGCAGCCGTGGCGCCACTTACCTCGCCGGGAGTTTGGTGCAGCACTAATGACCTGCAAACTCTGCAGATCGGCTCGGGCTCCTCAGCAGCGCGGCTCGGGCATGTCGCTTCCTTTCTTTTCCTTGCCCCACCGCCGCCGGCCTGCGAAAGAGGCAAAGGGATCTAACTGTTATTCTAATGGGGCTGCTGAAGCAGCTGCCTGAGTCACCTCCTCTCTCCTCGTCTCTTCCCTGGCTGCAAAAAGAAGCCGCCGGCTCCTTTCCAAACGACCGAGCCGAAAGACTGGCGGTTCACCCGGAGAATGTGGGGTGGCGTCCCCTTTATCCCCGCCCCCCGCCGCTCCACGCTGCTCGGAGCTGTGGAGCGGCTAAGCGAGCGGTGGCCAACGAGCGGGATTCATGCAAACCCACCCCCTCCTTTGCCTGACTGCGGGAGCACCACGTACCCCTGCAATGCCTGGAGAGAGCGCCCCGCGACCCCCCCCCCCGCCCTGTCCTCCCCCGGGAGGGGATCTCTGAGGAGAGCCACGCGGTCCGGGGGGGGGAGGGGCGGAAAGCCGAAGCAAGCAGCCGAAGGAAGTGCGGGCGCTGGCGTCCCCGCTTGCTGCAAGCAACGGGCCGCGGAGATGGTTCAGCTCGGGCTGCCAAGGGCACGCCGAGCGTGCTCCGGATGGCGCCGCGCCTGCTCCGCACATGGGCTACCTAACCACGCCGCAGAAACTGCGAAGGGGAGCGACGGAGAGCGGGGAGAAAGCGGGTTCTGCCCAGCGCGGGCCATTCCCTTCGCTGGAAAGTGCTGGGTTCCAAGGTCACGCCTGTCCTTTACCAGGGAACGGACGCGGAAGGGGCATCTCACGTTTGGCGAAGGGGGCGAGGGAGAAATGTGCCGACCGAATTCCGCCTTCCGCACATGGATTATCGGTTGCATGGCGTGCCCTTTCTGTTACTAGTCACCTTGGCAGAGAAGGTTCCAGCCATGTTGGTGCCTGACTCAGAAGAACCCAAATCCTCCTTTCCCCAAGGCCTGGTGGGCATTATGCCCAACGGCCAGAGAATTTGCAGTCGCCGCTTCACGAACAGATTGCGTGCATATGCCCTGTGAACCGTGTTGAATGTGCACAATGCCTGGTTGTTAGGCACATTAACTGCTCAGCTCAAATCGCCCCTAGTGTGCATGCATACAGGCCAGCCAAAACCCTACATGAGAATGTGCTGTGCAGTTAGGTGCTCATGCCTCCCAGATCCTAGGCTACCTCTTCCTACATTATGGTACAGGTTGACCTTGCATATGCCAAGGGGGCAGACAGGGAAAAGGCAGGGTGTATGCGGACTGAATGTTTTACCAAAACTCACACTGTACTTCATGTCAGCCACCTTTCCCCAGCAGCAACAAGAACAGGCCATTTATGACGCTGGAAACACTTTCTGACACAGACAAATCAAAAGAGCCACCCAGAAGAACAGCATGATATGCTCACTTACCAGATGGGTTTTGGTGGTATGTGCCCGGAAATCCCCAGTTCAAATCTTGCCCAGGCCCTTGAGATACACCAAGCAGCCTGACATTAAATGCTCTTGCTTAGTCTTCTGCATACCACATCTGCAATATGGGCAAACACACAAAAGCACTCTGTAAATGCTCTCATTACTGGAACAAAAAGGTAGGGTTCAGATGACAACTTTAAAAGCTTCCAATTGGTCTCTTTCCAACACCCTGGACTTAGGAATGGTCTCCTGCTGTGAAAGCAGCCACATTCTGCCTTGGATGCAGGTCTTAAGGGAAACTTTTATGGGTTGCTTAGAATAGTAGAGTTGGAAGGGGCCAGAAGGCCATTGGGTCCAACCCCCTGCTTAGTGCAGGTCACCAAGTTAAACTGTCCTCAGATGGCTGTCCAATTGCATCTCGAATGCTTCTAGTGTGGGACAGCCCACAACATCCCTAGGTCACTGGTTCCATTGCCGCACTACTACAGTCAAAAAATGGATGAGGGTCAGGGCTAGAAGAGAGACATGGAGCCAGGCCACAGCCTATCCCATTATCTATCCCCAATCTACCTTAGTAGGCAATTTTAAAAATAGAAAAGCTATAATATACAATACAGAGATATAGCATACTTTTGTAAAAATTACTTCCTAGCTGCACTCCTGCAATTAAGCAATAGGTTCATTCTAGGTTCTACCCTGGCCCCAGGCCTTGCATGGCGGTACGGGCCGAGGGCAGGCAGAAAGCACATCACCAGATGCTTTGTATGTCAACTCTCACGCCATGCTGGACTGCTCTGGAGATCTATATTCCATGGTATAGCAGATCTGGAAGACGTGAGGTGGTAGCACCAGTCTCTACCTGGAAGTTTAATTAGGTAATTCAGCACTAGTGATGTGTATAATATAGTGTTTGTTATAACACTAGCAGAAATTAGCAGCAACCAATTAACGAGGAAAGATATGACCCAGTTGGCAAACAGTGCTCTATTACTGGGTCAGACAATCCAGGAATCAGAGTGGCAGGTGGGTGCAAAGCAAGGCTGCTGCTTTTGATGCTTTCTCTTCGCAAACCATCCAGGAACACTCCATTCCTCACTGGATCCCAAATGGCCACACAAATGCCTGGGTTGTTTAACCCAAGAACTGATGCTGCATGGGAAACAGCTCACTTGGAGAAGCTGACCGTTGTCCCAACAAAGGTGCAAGTCTGGGTATGTTATGGGGCATGGTTTCTGTGGAGTCGTAGCTGCTGGCCCCTTTGTTAGGTCATGTATCTTAGTAGCTCCCTGTTGAGATAAGGAGCGAGAGGCTATACGCTGCTGCTGCTATAATACCAAGGACCATGTCCATGATGTTACAGAGTGCAGAGTACAGGAAGACACTTCCCTGCCTCAAGGACCTTGCAGTTTCAAATCTGACAGAGGGAAAGGGGAGCATAAACAGAGAAGCAATATGCAAATTTTCAAATGTGCATCTTCTTTCCAACCTACGTTATAGTAGGTTAACTTTCTTCAATCTGACGTGCTCTCAGTCTGTTGGGCTGCAACTTGCATCAGGAATGGGATGCGTCTGGAATGCCCCAAGTTGGGAAGGACTACACTAGCACACGGGAAATAGGCTGTGCCAAAAGCTTCACAGAAAAGGTGGTTTAAGAGGGATTTGGTCTGCTTTTCACAGTCTCAGGCCAAAGGGGGAGTGTGGATGCCTACCACCGAATTCGTAAAGCCTATTGCTGAACAAACCCTCAACATCTGCCTTAAAGGACTTCTTCCCCACAAGCTTACACAGAGCCCATTTCTGTCTTGGCCCTTTTAGATAAAAAGAAATTTTAAGTTATCCATTGTGGTTTTGAACTGTCACTTCCAATTGATTCTGCTCAAGGTAACAGGAGGGAGAGCCCTGCAACTCGAGAGAGAGAGAGAGAGAGAGAGAGAGAGAGAGAATGTCATAATTCATTTGGAGCTGCTCCCATTGTCCAGTCTTGGTTATGGCTTAGTGGCAGTTCAGCATCTGCAAAAATTCCATGATGGCCCATATTCTGTCCCATCTCCCAAACTGGATCTAGTTGAAACCTTGATAAGGTCAGACTGAAACTGTACCATTTTGATACTCTGAGTCAAACAATAAACTCCAGTCATGTTGAACTTCAGGGCTCAGGGTACAGCCGACTCCCGTCAGGGCTGTTGCTTTGTAAAGCTCAGCAGGTTCTTCACCACGCCCTTCACTGGCATCCCCAGCATTCGCACTCCACTGCTGCAGGGCCAGCTCAAGGTTTGGAAAGACCCTTCTCTAGGATGCTCGATTCTCCCCCTTGTTACTGCCAGATGCTGCCCCCCCCCCCACAAAATCGCCTGTCAACTTTCTAGAGGCAATAGCAGGTGAGCAAGTGTAAGGTGGCTGCCATTTGTGGTTTGGTTGTCTATTTTTTCCCAAATAGACTGAACAACAGTGAAGTGGTGCACTTCACTAGAAAATAAATATGAAAAACTGTCATACATCCTGTGCGGTCATTAGATGATGTTCTCGAACAGGGTTGGTGTCAAAAGTAGGCATGGGCGGACACCTGCCAGGGGCTTGCACTCCAGTGGGGCCCACAGGTGTCCCCCTGGGTTGCCATTCCTTTTCCCATCTGCAACCTGCTTGTTTTCCTGCCTCTTGTTGGGGCTGAGACAAGAAAGCAAGTGGGAGCCATGAGAACAAAGGGGGTGCAGCTGGTGGCAATGGCGGTGGGAAGGCCAGCTCCCTGAGGAATGGGCCCATAAGGGCTGGGCTTGCCAGGGCCCTCCAAAACCTGGATCTAGCATGACTCTTGAGCATTGCGAGGAGATCCCATTTCTACAGAATGAGACTGAGCAAAATGTTGCAGAGTGGAGTTCCTGTGAACGTAAGATTTGAAAGGGAAGCAACACCACAATGTATATGAAACCCTTCAGCATTTTGCTTTTCTGCAAACATAACGCTGACTTTGGGCACTGAGATGTAAAAAACGCTATTTTTTAGCCATCAGAATGTGCAAGTGCTCTCAGAAGGAGAGAGTCAAAGCAGAAGGGCTTTGGCTGAGCCAATGAGGGATGGTGGGAGAGTGCCACAGACTGCATAATTTAGTTGCTGGAACTATAAGAAATTGTACCTGATGTGTGAAAGGGGATTACACTGCAATCCTATAGGTGTCTTCTAAGGTGTAAGTCCCAGTGGGACTTATTGCCAGAGAAGTGTGTAGAAATGGGTGTCAAACTTCAGTTTAGAGACATTTGCAGGAGGGATTCCAGCAGAAGGAGAGGCCAGAGGCAAAAGGGGTGAGGCCAAAATAAAATACAGGTATACTTAAACATTTCATGCCAGTAACTAAGCTTTATTTACTGGAGGGATGAGAAAGCTTTTAGGAGGGACAGAGAGTCAGAAAAGCTGGAAAAGCATGGGTGGGCAAATGGGGTGTATCCATCTGGGGAATCCACATTTGGTCCATGTGCCCAAACCTTAACACCCTAGGGCACTGGGTTTCAGCCTTGAAATTCTGCAGTGTTTTGTACATCTTATATCTTACACTACCTATGTTGACTCCACTAGCCTCCTAACACAGTCCCCTTTGCATGCACTGAAACAGCACCCTTCCCACCCCCAAATCTTCCTTCTAAAATCTGTTGGTCTAAAGAAGATGATCTCAGCACCTGCTGCACACCCAGTGTTCAGTGATTTCCATGGGCAAAACAGAAATGACAGTATAAAGGGGAACCAAATACAGTCAAAACATTCAAATGGAATATGTAACTAATGGAAATTTTAATGGGAAATAGAAAGCCATTAAATGTCTTTTTAGAGTTTTCAACATAAAGTTTATTGATTGATGTGGTTGGGGCAGGAGAGATAGTTTTTTGCCCATGTATAGCAGAAGGACTACCCAGCTGCTTCTTGTTATAAAGCATTCTTCATTTACTTGCCCACGAAGCTCAATGCCTGTAAAAGTCAGGCTTCCATTAAGCTTCACTGGAGATTTTTCATACCAAGATTTTTCATACCATTTCATTCCCAATCATTAAGTGCAGATATAAAAGCTGGACAGTGAAAAAAATTCTGACAAGAAGAAAACTGATGCATGTGAAACATGGTGGTCTGTGAAAACCCTGGAATAACAGAAAGATGAACAAGTGGGTCCTTAGCTCAAGTGAAGCTGGAGCTTTCCCTGAAGGCAAAAATTATGAAACTGAAATTGTTGAACTTTGGGCACTGGAGAAGGCAATAATGCTTGGGAATGTTTGAAGCCAGAGGAAGACCCACTGTGAGATGGATCGATTGAGTAAAGGAAGCCACCGCCTGGAGTTCACAAGAGCTGAGCAGGGCTGTCAAGAACAGGACACTTAGAAGGACATTCATTCATAGGGTTGCCATAAGTCAGAGATGACTTGATAGTAATTATATAAAGGAACAAAAACCCTCAATGGGATTCCATTTTTTCATTGAGCCAGATACCACAAAGCTCTGTGTAGGGTGGGGCTTGACCAGTTTTCCTACAGGGCTGGAATATAAGAAGCTGCGTGTTACTGCCATGGAATGGCTAGGATAGGTGCTGGAAAGCCATAGCCCACCAGAAGCTGCTGGACTACAAATCCTGTTATGACTGATGACTGGCCATGCAGGCTAGGATTGAAGTCAAATGCCATCCAGGGAGTTACAGGATCTCCACTCCTATGCATGGAACTTGCGTCAGATTCATACTCCACTCAACCACTGTGGACTTGCTGTCCAGTTCCTATCTCTCAGCCTGACCTACCCCACAAGGGCATTGTGAAACTAAGAAAACCAGACGTTGACCACAAGGATCAGGGGGGATTCATGAGCATCGACCCCTCTGTTTGTAAGCATTGAGTTGACTAGCTCATGCAGGAAACAGAATGCTGAACCAAAGGGACATTTTGATTCTTCTAACAAGGTGATTCCAGTGGAATGAGAAATTACAGAAGCACTAGCAGCAGCAGCAAAGACAAGTTTCTAATAAGAATACACAAGCTGCAAAAATATGCAATTAAATCTGTAGGTTACAAGGGACACCTACAGGACACATACTGGTGACCCCTATTTTGCATTCATCTCGG